TTTGTTTGGATTTAATAATAATAAACTACAATAAATATAATACAGATGACATTATAATTTCGAAGTTTAGGTCAGCATTTTATGAAAATTAATACACTGAGATTTAGTTCACCATAAGTTTAACACCCATGATATTTGTTGTGTATGGACCAAATTGGAGGCACTGAACGAATGGATTTCAAAGGTTGTCAGTGGAATTAGTAATTATTTTAAAAACAAGACATGATAAAAAAAATAATTCATTAAAATTTTGATTTTTATTAAAAATTTTTATAAAGTACAAAATTCCGTAGAATTTTCATCTAAACATTAAAGACAGCAAAATGACTAATAATAGCATTAACTATTTTCTTTTAATTTTTAAAAACTTTATATTTATTTAGACAATTGTGTAATTGTAATTTTTTTTTTATATTGTAGTATATTTTATCCAATTACTAAGTTATTCGTGTTATAACTAAGTTATACATAACTACATATTATAAGATCAACAATATTTTTAACTGTTTAAATAGTTTTTATTATAAATATTTCAATACGTTGTTACCATTGAAATCAAATTTGTCGAAGTATCAGAAAGACTAAAAAGGTACTTATCTTGTGCAAATTTTTACTTAAAGGGTTGTTAGGTACGACCGGAGCTAGAAAGTTATTAAGGGGACAGATAAAAAAATCTAATAAAATAATTATAATTTATATTAAACAAAATTACATCACCATATTTTTTTTTATACTCTTTTTATAATAATTAAAGAGGATATTACAAATGTTTTAGGATATCCTATTTATTTGAATCATTGAAGAATAAAAATACAAAGTAATTGCACTACAATTATAATCGCTCATGAGATAACGAGTAAATTTTATCAAGTTCCAGCAGGTAATCGATATTCAAAAGCTTTGCGTTTTGTTCTACTCTCATTCATATTTTTAAAAGTCTCCGTGATTAAATCAACATTCGACAGAGCGAAATAACAGAGCCTATAGTCCATACAGTACCTTATCTTATAACGGGTATGTTTTATTACTTATTTTTTATGACTTTATAGAAAGCATAACACTATTGCTAATTATGTAAATAGTCTAAAATCGTGCTAATTCATCAAAAATGTTAATTTTGTTTACGTTTACAGTCTAATTGAAAAAAAACCAGCACAGTGGGGTCGCGGCATAGTAGAGACGTTGCATAATTGGGTCCAGTATAGATTTAATTTGACAGTGATTAAAATCACTATCATAAGAAACGC